AAATATCTATTAGAGATGGTTGCGAAACAGGAAAAACCGTTGAAAGATGTTTAACGGAAATAAAACAAACTCTGTTTGGAGTCTTATAAAAGGTGTCATGATGAGTTGGCAGGGCTAAAGGAAGTTGTAGAGTGGAGCTGTTTGCTTTTTTCTGCGCATTTGATAGGAAAAATTGCACATTGGTTGATTGTGAGTGCTGCCGTTGCCGAAGCTATGTTCCTACTTTTCATATCCTCATCAGCGTCGTGAAGTGCAACCTTTCCGTTTGTTTCGTTAGGCAAGAAAATTTGTTAAATTTCTTCCACGCTTCTAACTGCTGTTAATGAGGCAGCAACGGTAGTTATTGCAAGGAGAAAATAGTAAACAGAGATGGATGGATGGCATTAACCACAATGTGAAAGTAGTAGTCACCTTGCAAACATCCATCCATCCATCCATTCAATTATTCATTTATTCATTCATCCATCTATCTATATAGTAGTTGTGCCACCTAAATTATGCTCTTTCGTTCTTGCATTGATGGCAAATTTAACAAGAAAATCTGCTGACGAATATATGAATTTTGCTTGAAAAAAATGTTCAAATTCTAAATATTTATCATTGAATAATGGTTTACATTATTTTGCAGATGCACATTTTTTAATATGACAGTAAGGCAAGTTGAGTTGTGATTATCTGCTCTCTAGTAGGCAGCAGTGATTTGATTCTTTGCATGCCCAGAAAAATCGTTTTTGTCATTGTCATTGGAACACACACACACACACACACACATACACATATACATATACATATACGTACATATAAAATATACACAGGTGTTACAGCAAGCATTTCTCCTCTGCTCTCAACTGCTCTTAAATATGTAATTTAAAAAGTGTTTTCTTCATTCATTTTCTATTTTTTATTTTGACTATTATTTGGTATTGTGTTGACAAAAGAGTTGTTGACTCTCTTACATATGCATGCATACCTGTTGGATAGTAGTTTGTGGTGTTGCTGCAAGATCCACACCAACTCGTTCTTTCCTTATCTTTATTCATTTCTACCTTTTGGTTAGTCAGCTGTGCTTTATTGTAGCTAGCAAATAAAACTTGAGAGCAGCGTTTAGTGTTAGTGAGGACAACGATTGCGGTTTCGTTATATGTTTTGATTTTATTTGTCATTGAAGTAAAAGTAAAAAATTTTCAGTAAGAATTAGGTAATACTGATTTTGGAAAAGAATTGTCCAGATTGTTCAATTTGTTCAAATTGCATATCAAATTGCATATGCATTCTTCATTTTATTTGTACATCGATGTAGCGATAAACAGCTGCGACAACATCTGCAATGAACGCAAAACTTGGCGGCCTTCATGTCGTTTATATTTCATAGCACTTAATCATCCTGCGGTTAGGCTCTTTTTAAGCTCTTGTGGAGTTGGGTAGTTAATGAAAGATTCGATCATTGTAGCAGTTTGTTCAGATAAATATGTTAAGAGAAATAGCGCTGTTGAGGTTTTACTGAAATCGTCTTCATCTACTTGATTTTCTGGCTGCATAGGAAAGAAAAAAGATTGAACAGATTATTATGAGCTAATATTTGCATATAACAGTGCCTTTATGAAGGGGCAGATGAACCGGTTGATGAAGAACGATTCTCATGAAAGGTGATTTGCTAACAAAAATAGAAATTCATAATAATAAGTAGTTTCGATGGATAGACATCTTAAAAGATGGGGTTGTATTACTAACTGAATTTAGCGCTTTTACTTATGCAACTATACGGACCAAGTTTGCTCTTTCGTCATTTGAAGTGTGTGTCAAATAACCATGCTAATTCATTATTGTATTTTATAAAAGTATTTTCAAATTTCTATCCTAGCCCCATTCTTTCTTAAGTCGAAAAATTCAGCGTAAGTGAAATTTGCTTAAACTTCTAGCGTTGGTCTTGACACGCATTTGGAAGCACTTAACAGCATGACACTCTTCTCTTAGCTTAAGACGGGCAAATGTCTTTTTCATTTCATTCAAATAAGGCTGCTTGGATAATATAAATATGCTTCCATTTGAATTTCATCTTAGTTGTTCAGTTGTCGGTGTGTAAGCTTAAGGCAGACTTAAATCGACTTTTTAAGAAGCTTTCTCAGGAACATTCCAGGAGAAATGGATTTTTATATTGAAAGATGGGAAGGGAAGAAAAGTCATTGAGTCGTTTTTTCCATTTTTTATGTCTTTTCTCAACGTGCTGTGAAGATTCAACATACATTTTGGTTGTTGTTCTTCCCTACATACTACTACTACTACTACTAGCTTCGCTTTTTTCACCAAAAATTCAAAACAAGAAAATAGAGAAACTTTTGTTAAGCAAATGCTGCAGTGCTTCAAGTGCGAGATGAATCAGCTCTCGATAATAATGCCAGTACAGAGTGGCGGAAAGCAAGTTGGTCAGATCATTTACATTAGTTTAGTTTCATTTTGATTTCATTTCTGATCAAGCAGTTGCTGTGATGAGAAAGAAATGATGGCATTGGGCAGTGTGCAGGAGCTGATGCAAGGCTGTCACCAACTCTGTCTGCATCATTGGCCTGCGATTAGCAGGCAGTCTTTGATACAAGTTTGACTTTTTAAGAAATGAGTATTGTTTGCGAATTAGTCGGTAGATAGATAGATGAGTAGCAACAGTATTTGATACAGAGAATTACGGTGGTATTTTTTTTCTCTCACTCTCTGTTCAGTTACAATAGAATAAGTTTTGCTCTTAAGCTAAGGTAGGTAATATGAGGTGAATATAGGACGTTGAGAAATGGTTACGAGGGTGTTTTAAAATTAAGAGTGTATTTGTGGCAGAGCAAATGACACTTGCAGAGCCATTTCTCCGCTCTAGAAAATAATGCTCGCAAGAAATGCCATCAAAAAACCTTACTGAACAGCAATATGTGAAAAGAATTTGACAGAAATGACATTCTAATAGCCACAAACCAACACAACTACCACACATACGCACTCCACTCACGGAAGCACAATAGTAGTGGCGGTGATCTCTTTCTTCTACTCGTTTATGCAGAATTTGTACTGAGAGTAGATGAATAGGTTTAAGTCTATAAAAGTCGTGCATACATACAATTTTAGTTTTTAGTTTTTCATTTGCATCTTACATGCAACATTCTTGAGGCTCAGGCGCAGTTGCTTTTCTGTGTATTTATTATTTATATAGAAAGTTAGTGGTTATGATATGAAGATGATAATGACTTTGCTGTCAGATAATTAAAAATCGCAATATATCTCTAATTTTTGGACTTTATGCTATTACAACGGAGTTACGCAAAGAAGGCACAAGAAGTAACAAGGAAAAATAAAGCAGAATTGAGCATGGAAAGTAGTGCTGTGATGCATGAAAGATGTGTGCATTTTATTGCAGCTGTGAAATCACTGGCAAATATTGGTTTCGTACATTTGGAGTGCTTAGTAGAAAGGATGAGAAGACGATAGTTAAATTTCGTTCTTTTAACGTCTATGAAAATAAGTGGTGCGTCTGGGCTTAAGTTGTAGGATTTCAATGCACTGATAGCATTGGATGAAGTGAGAAACGCTGTGGCGATAAATATTCACATGTAGAAATGGAAAAAGAGTGAAATTAGTTGGTCGATTAGTATTGTATGTAGTAAGTGGTGTTGCTTAATTGACACTGTGAAATTGATGGCATATCACAAATGTATTGTAGTAAATGATGCAAAATTAGACATACCACTTGGTTGATTTTTTGATGCTTAATAAAATAATAATATTGCTCTGGGATGAACGGGTTTAGTAATCGTAAATATTTCCTTCCTATTTTACTCAGTAAATATTACTAGCTATATTTTAAAAGAGAATATTGAAAATAGCGACCTTCATTTATTCATTGATTCATTAATTCATTCACGTATAAGAAATAAATCCTAGTGTGATAGACGGATAGATAGTTGTTACATAGTATTATGCAAACAAAATCATGGATGAAAAGGATATAAGTAGTGAAACTGTCAACAGCAAGCATTTTGATAAAATTTTTTTTGTACGCAGGAGAAAATAAGTTGGCTGCGAGGTCGTTTGGTTGCTAGTAGGCTGAAATAAAATAGATACATAGATACAGACAGATACAAATAGGTAGATAGATTAGTTTGTACTGTTCCTGATTGCAGTGACAAACTTTGGCAACTCACTTTTCATTATTTCCAGTTTTATATGAATGAGTGAGCGAGTAAGTGAGTGAGTCGTCTTCGTTGTTGAGTGTGTGAGTTAGTAACCAACATCTTGCATTACCCCTCGATGGAATGCAATGGATAGAGGATGGATAGGTGGATGGATGAATAGATGGATGAATGGATGGATGAATGAATGGAGAAGAAAAGTAATGAATGAAGCGAGCGCGCATTTATAAAATGCTCTGCTGTAGAGTGTGTGTAGTAGTAAATGAGTGGCAAAAGTCGGTTGTTATCTATGTATCTGATTTTATGTATGTATATATATGTGTGTGTATGTTTATGTGTGTGTATGTGTGTGCGACTAACTGCTTACTAAGTTGCTTTGTAAGCTGGTATTTTCATGGATTTATGTGTGATAATCTTGTCCTTTGCATCTACAATGCCATCATTTGAGGAAGTTTATGAATATTTGCTTAATTACCTTTTGCTTTTGTCTTTCACCAGTACAGCAATACTTTCACAAACTTTGCATTTCTCATCGTTTAATATAAATTAATTACTTTTACATGCTGAGTTTTCCATGATACTTCTTGACATGCATTTCAAATGTACAAACAATAAAATGAGTAGCATGAAGTATGCTCTATCTCAACTTTGTAATATTTGTTGTTTCCGAAAAGCTCTATCTATGAAAGACATTCTGTGTACTTTTTTATCATCAAATTTATTTGCATAAAGAAAATTCGCTTTATTGTATTTTATATTTAATTCGTCATATTTCTTTTATGTAATAAAAGCAGACACTTATTGGATTTGGATGGTTTTCTTTTTCAGAAAATGGGTGACCAAATGCAGCAGAACTTTCTAGCAATGCTTGCTGCGCAAGCAGTCAATCAAAATAATATGCCTATGAATTTACTCTTCCCAAATATGAACTTTCCTCCGGCAAATGCATTAGATATGTTGCTTTGGAATAATGTAATGCAGTTATCACAGCCTGGATTTTTTGTCCCACAGCAGCAACTACCGCAAGAATCATTTGAAGAAGTATTGCATAGAATGGCTGGTGTTAGTTCAACATCAGCCAGTATTTCAGGTAGTGGTTTGTTATATTTTCATTTTCATTCTAGACTGTAAGAATTGTAGAACAACAAATAATTCATTTGATTTATGAAAATTTAATTGTTTGTTTTTAAAACTTATTTTTGTTCTTAATTTCAACAGACTGCCATTTTTCAGTTCAATTGTTACTTCTATGAATTTGTGCTGTGGTGCAAAAAATTTCGTATTTACTCGTATTATTATATCCGCATTTAAGGTAATCAACAGACTGCTGCTGAAGTTGACAGTAGAGAATCATCATCTCAACCTATAGGTTATTCAGTATCTGACATAGCTTCCACTTCTACAACAAACTTAGGTCTTTTAAATATTGATCCAGATTCACCTACAAAAGGTTTAGAACCGGGTGAAATACCTAAACGCAGGTAAATTATTTTTTTTCGTGAACTTCCATAAGTGCAAAAATTACCGTGTTTGCGTCAGTTTTTTTCTAATAAATGAAAACTGTTTGCTCTCTTATTTTCATAGTTGACTACGACTATAAATGTAATCAAGTATTATCCTAGCTAGTGCAACATATCAGTTGATTATATTGCTTTTCAGAGATAACAACCGATCGAGAAATGGTATCTCTTCTCTACCTACAAATCAAGTACCGTCGACTTCAGGGATTTCATTAAATTCAAATATTCTGGAAGCATCAGCGCGTTGCTATGCAGCATTGGCTGCCTCAGCTTCTCAACAGCAGCAACAACAACAGCAACAACAACAACTGCAACAAAACGAAATTTTAGCTGCAGTATTGCAAAATGCTGCTAATTTTGAACGAGCTCGATTTGCAGTTGCAAACACGGTTACTCCTTCCATTCGTCAGGGCAGTAGTAATACGTGTGTTAACAGTGTTGGTAATCCTTCTTTGAAGCGAATCACAACAGCTCATCAGCATGTTTCGAAGTGAATATTTTTATTCAAAGATAAACTTTTGCTTTTTAGTTCTACAATATGTTTAATATGTGCTCTATCTATATTTAAAAAAATGTCGAGATAGTGTTTCAGGCATCAGTTAACTTAAATTCGACAATGAGATATGGTTTTTTTAATTGTAAAAGTTTCATTTTATAGTACAAGCTGTAAAAAAGAAGACAATTCTCGCGCATCTGGCTCGCTACCAGCTTCATCTACATCATCTCGATTAAACGAGTCGCCTTTGGATTTATCGTTTCGTAAGTCGAAGAGTGGATCAAAGGAGCGTGGACGTAGTTTTGCTGATCACGCAAGCGGTGTAGATTCTGAAAGTTCAAGAAAGCGTACTCAAGTAGATGCATCTTTGATACGCATACCACTTAAATCTGGGTTTGTTTTCACTGCTTTATGAGGTGTATGTTTTTCACTGGATTGCCATTTTGCGCGTTTATAGTTTTAATTTAGAGTTTGGTTTAACTTTCTCACTTTTTGTGCAAGAATAACACGCTTGTCATTATATATGCCTTTATGGATTTTTATTAGAGTTTGGTTTGTCTGTTTACTTTATCGGAAAATAGAATTCATTAAAGAGGCGTTTATTGATACTTACTGCTTATTAGATAGGATCAGACTTCACATACTTAATCGGGATCTTAACCTGATAAGAATCATATAATCAAGTTAAGGGGCTCTTAGTTTTTAGGCTTACCTCATTAAATGGTTGTAGAAAACTACTAAAGACAATGTTATGTAAACATATTCGAATAGCATACTTTTCTTCTTGTTTTCATATATTCGCCACTATATGTGTTAATAGTTTGATTTTTATTATAACTTTACTCTTAATAATTGAAACGTAAAAATTTCACTTTTTTGTTAATTCAGCTGGAGACGCCAGACTTGTATACGCACAATAAGTGCTAGTGGTGTAAGAGGTGACGTTATTTATTATGCACCATGTGGTAAAAAACTTGGTTCATATGCTGAAGTAACACGAGTATGTATTTACACACTTTTTGTTAGAGTGATTCTGTCATAGTTTCATAGTAAAACCAAATTAAAGATTTCGAATGTCATAATAACTAAATCTATGAAATTGAAAGTAAATTACATGCCCTAACCTTCTTTGTTTTTCAGTATCTTACAAAAAAGAATATCAAAAATATTGGCAGAGAAAATTTTAGCTTCAGTTGCAAAGTTATTGTTGGTGAATACATTTTATTTAAAGATGACAAAGATGGTTCTAAGGTTAGTACAGTTTACCTCATCATTATAGCTTAATTTTATTTCAGTTTCACAAACATCTGTCTAAAAAAAATAAGTGTTGAAGAAAATCATTTTTAATAGGTTCCTGATAGAGTATCAGAAGAGAAGATTCTGGCTGAAATAGCTAATTGTTCTGCTACTAATACTGTTCGTAGATCATCTGGTGCTCATGTTAAAGCACCAAGTTCTTTAGCAGGGACTGATCAGTCATCAACGTTCGGTGAGTTTTGGTGTCTATACTTCTAACTTCACTGCTTTTTAATATCAAAAATTTGGAGTAAATGAATTGAACAGAAGAGTTGAAAGCAAAAAGAGCTACTATTTACTTCAGAAGTTTATTTTTTTGTTTCCTCTGTTACGTTATGTTATTACCATTTCTGTTGGTGTATTTTTGCTATTTTTTTAACATGTTAAATATATAATTGCAGCTTTGTGATCAAGTTAGTTGTACCTTATATTAGCCGCCAGGTTTTTATACGTGTAAAAAAGTTGAAAAAAAAATTACCATAAAAAAAATACCAAAAAAATCACCACGTATTAAAAATTACCATTTTTTATACGTGTAAAATTTACCAAAGTTGAGGTTTATCAGTTTCAGCAGTTGATAAAAATTCAATGAAATTAATGGAAGAAGCTACTCTTCGACAGTTACATCGACAGTTATTGCGTCGTCAAGGAGAACAACATATGTATGCTCAGTTATTACTTTCCTTGGTAAGTTATTAAATTTTTCATCACATAGTATGGTCGACCTACTTCATTATGTTATAACTTTTAAAAACTACGATTTATGTTATGAATAAAAATCTACGAGATCGACGTTGCATAAGTAAAGTAGAGATTAAAATTTTCAGCACTAGGTAGTGAAGCTGAACAAAGCATTTCTGAAAATATCTCTGAAAGATTAAAATCGCCTTCTTATTAATTGCACTTTGTCAATAAAGAACTCTTCTAATTACAGTATTGCTGTGACTTTACATGCATTTATCACATTATTTAATTATTGAAGTTTTTACTAGTTCCAAATTCCATATATATCATTTACTCGTATTTCTTAAGTGTCAGGGTCAGCAACTGCAGCAGCGTCATCTTCAGTTACAGCAGCAGCAACTGCCTTTGATAACAACGGGAGATTTGCTCGTTGAAGGAGAACCAGAAATCAAGAAACCTAAGGTGCTATATTTGCACAATTTTTCGCTGAGTTAATTAAGGATAATACTTCAATATAATTTTTATTCCCATACAATTGTATTAATAATCATTAGCTTTCAGATGGAGCAGCCAATATCAGTCACAACACCTTGTCGAGTGCAACCTTCAGGGACTCCTGTTACTTCTCAAGCTACAGCAATAGCCGTTGGTAGTCTCATTTCACCTTGTATTGTTGATTCTCCTACTTCTACTTCAACAACTACCACTTCTACTAGTGCTGGAGCTGTCAATATTGCTGTTATATCCACTTCTACCACTATTTCTACTTCAGCAACTACTACTACCACTGCTGTTCCTACAGTGATCATTCCAAATACTGGTGCAGTTGAAACGAAGCCGACTAAATCTGATCTGACGGATGAAGAAAGACAGGAAGAGCGTCTAAAAGCACTTCGACTACCAACAGATGATCTTTTGATTGAAGAAGCACGAGTATGAGTATATGAACTTCTGGATTTTTGAAGTTTTTATAATTCACTTTATACCTTTATTTATTAATTAGCTATGAATGAGACTACCACAACAATTGTAGCGCATTTTAGTAATTTTAATTGTAGAAATTGCCGACACTTGATTCCATTGAAAATCTTAGCGTCAATGCACCTACATTTGCAAATGTTCTGATGGTCGATGAATTTGTGCGCAATTTCGGGCATGTTTTAAGAATTGGTGAGCTAATTTTGTATGTTTTTGAATTATCAAGGCTTTTTATTATATATTAAAATTGTTTAATATGGTAGTTATGAATTGTAATATATATTTGATTTTGTCTATTTCAGATCCAAACACTCTACCGACCCTGAATGAATTCTTGGCTGGCCTGCAGAATGATCCTGTTCATCTCAAAAGTTTTCTTTTACTTACCAAAACTTTACTGCAGTTGGTCCTAGAATACCCTGGATTACCATCAGGAATCGCTGGACGGACTCCACTCGGCCAGGCCTTAAAGGATGTGGGTGTTCATCGAGAAAATTATTCAGAATTGCTGAAAATGTTTCTTCTCTCACGTGATGAAGAAGGAAAAAGGGTATGATTTGTTAAGATTTGTCAAGATCACTCAATCACAACTAAGTTCATTTATGTAATGTTTAACCTCTCTTAGCTTGGTGCGAAATTAGAAGGCAGTTCATTTGAATGCTTGGATCCAGAATCAAAAGCTAGTATTTTGGCTTTCTTGTGCAATGAGCTTTTATATTGTCGTAATGTTGTACGGGATATTGAATCAAATATGGAGGAAATGACACGATTGAAAGGTGAAAAATGGCTTCGTGAAGGTAAATCACGCGCTCTGCGAGCAGTACAGACTCGTAAACGAGCAGCTCTGAAACGGGTAAGTTATTTTTTCACTACATTGTTCTTCATCTTCATTACTTTACACTGAAACAAGTTTTGGTAATTTGTTCCTAAAGCATGAGGTTTAATGAAAGATTGGTGCTACCTATTTTCTTACTGCATTTTATGTTGATTCGAGTCAAAATGTCTGATTTTCATTAATTTCTATTTTCAAAAGCCTCTCAATGATAAAATTTTGATATTCATTGATTAAGAAACCATATATCACAAGTTAGAACTTTCACTTCTTTTAAATCCTTTTTTTTAGCTTAGACATGATATTAAAGACGAGGATGTTGCCTCAAGTCGAGCAGGAACTCCTGGTTCGGAGCCTTCAGAATCATCAGAAGAAGTGGAATCGTTGCTGCAACCATCTCGATTGAAAGCTCTCACACCAGGATTGGGTCAATGTGATGTATTAACTGAAGAAGTATGAACTGGAATTTTTGAATTCAACCTTCATTATATTTAGAGTACCTAAAATAACAGTTTTTTGGAGTACTTTAAATAACGCGATTTATATGTCTTCATTTTGAGTATTGTAGATTTTTTTAAAGTAATCTCCATAATTTCATGTCTGTAGTTTTATAAATCTTTGTTTTTAATTAACATTATTACATACAGTGTGCAAAATTTATTGATTATAACTTATTTCTTCAGGAGGAAGCTATGACTGTTGATGAATTAGAGGCTTATATAGGAAGACTGAATTGCGAAGTAGAAGAGCTGCGTGAGAGGCATAACTTATTAATCAATCGTGTCCGTATTCAACCCATTGGACAGGTATAAAAAAAGAGGCGATTGATAAATCTTTATGATCTCGAGATTAAAAAAAATGGGTAGTTCAGTCAAGCAGAAACAAAATTAAATAAAACAAAATTTTCTTCAATTTGTTTAATATATTAAATTGTACTTTATTTTGCAAAAAAGTGGAGAAAAAGCATTGATTAGTGCTGATAAACCGTGAAATTTTTAGTATGTTTGCATTTCTTCAAAGTCTTTAGTATATATAATATATGTTTCTGAGTTCTTGTAGGATCGGTTCCACCGCTTTTACTGGGTGCTACAGCGTATTGGTGTACCTCTCGTGGAAAGCATTGCTTCTTCAAGCCTTCATAACCCTGCAATTAATGTTGATGTCACGTGCCGACAAGATCCACCTTCTATTGTCGGTAAGTGTTTAGTTTGGATTAAGTTCGGGGTCGACTAATATTTTCTAGCGCATAATTTTAATTCATTATTTTTACCTCTGGTATTTACTTTTTTGCAGAGGACCCTCAAATTTTCATCAATCCAGACATTATTGCATGTGTGGAAGATATTTTGGATATTTTGTGTGGTAGCGAAGAACGTCCAGACAAAGGAAAAAAAGGTTAGTTTTGCTTGTATTAACTGTAGGTATTGGTATAGCATTGTAACAAAGATATTGTTAACTTGTAAAAAAAATTTTCTTTCACAGTACGACTCAGAAGACTGGACAATAAATGTAAACGTGGTTGGTGGATGATATCTAATGCAAAACTAATGGAACAGCTGCGAGGAGCTTTTCATGGCAGAGGAATACGAGAACGAATATTACATCGTGTGCTCAACAAAGATAATCTGACATTCAAACCAAGTTCTCACTGTACGGTCATTGAATCTTATTATTTATGGCAGTCATATTTCATCAATTCGTGCTTCGACAGTAGCTTTTCAATTTTAAGTTTCTGTTTTGCAAGAAATACTTTCTGCAGAAAACTTCGAGTAAAATTCATACTACTGTGCAGTTCCGTCATTAACATGAACGCCGAAACTGAAAATTTTTGCTACAAGGAATGTGTATAGGTTCTGTATTTTACTTACAATCGCTTTGATTTTTAGAGTCGATTATAATACTTTTTAAATTACGAAGTTTTAGTGAAACTAGAACGTGTTAGTAGACCGCTAACGATCAACGAAATCAATAAAGCAATGATAAATCGGATTTCCTCGCTTATCACATCATTTGAACAGAAAATAGTCGCTGCAAATGTCCACTGTCGTGTCAGTGAATTACGTTTATTTACAAAATTTAACATGAGGCAAAAATTGATGGGTAACTCTGTCTTATCAAAATTGATGGTGAATTTCGTTTCGCTACTCTTGTTTCTTTTGAAAATTTTGTTTATCATGTAAAATTGTTATTTTAAAAGGTTCAAATATCTTTTTTTACAAAAATTTTTTCAAATCATTTCAGCCAATGCCTTCAACTGGAGATGGCCGAGACGATGATGCAGAAAGTGAAGTTAGTCAGGATGCTTGGATGTTTGATGATACTTATGAGTTTGTCAATGATGCGGAAGCAGAAGAAAAACGTTCCTTTGTGGAATGGGATTCTTTTAAGAAGCTAAAAGAGCGACTATTAGAAGCAGAGAAAAGTATTGAACGTCGTTATTTACTGCATCGTTACTATGCAGGGTACTATTTCAAGTTCTGTTCATTGAAAGCTAACACTTTTCGTTTATGTCTTTGACTTGATGCAGGCTGTGCATTATTGAATGAGCTATATAAAACATATGAATTTAACGTTTGCCATTTTTTAGGTTTCGTTTTAAAGATCACATTGCAATGATTAGTTGGTAAATTCAGAAAATATCACATCTGTTTTATTTATTTATTTCTCAAAGTATTGATTACGAATTGATCTTTAGAATTAAAATCATTTTCATTTATTACTAGGACAACGATACCTGCCGAAAAAATACTATTTACGCAACAGCAAAATGTTCAAAATGGCAGTAATAATGTTGATGCAAGTGCTGTCGTAGATGGAGGCGAACCTCAATCAGAACCTTCAGAATCATCAAGTACGAGTTGCCATTATGATGGTGAAGCCATTGCAGTAGACGAAAGTGGTAATACTGAACTTTTGCAACGCTGGCGAGATTATGTACAAAAAGCTAAAACTGGTGGGCAGATCATGTTTGCGATACAGGTACATTTTGAGTCTCATTGTTTGCATAACAGATTTGAATATCTTTTCCATTATCAAGCATCCAACTTAATATGTTTACCAAAAATGCAAAAGCCTATCGTAGAAGCCTGGTGTTATTAAGGCAAAAATTAGTTTGAAACAATTTAAATAAATGTAGAAATATTGTAAGAGTAAATTGGTCTACAGAAAGAACAGAACAAATTTATGTTTATAATATTTTGTCGCATAAATAATTCTTCGACAGAGTGAATACTTCTTTGGGATTTCAGGCATTAGATTCAGCTATTGCTTGGGAAAAGTCGATAATGAAAGCAAGTTGTCAGATTTGTCGGACAAGTGAAAATGAAAGTCAGCTGCTGCTTTGTGATGCATGTGATATGGGTTATCACATGTACTGTTTTCGTGTAAGGTTTTTTCCTGAAAATATAGCTTTAAGAATAGTATTAATGACATTGTTTACAGAGTGTGCTTTCTGAAACAGCTGTATGTATTTTCAGCCACGAATAGCGGTGGTTCCAGATGGTGAGTGGTACTGTCCTCTATGTGTCCAGCGTGCGTGCCGCAAAGTTGTTTGTCTTTTGTGCTCTAAGTGGAATCAGCCGAACTCGCATCCGATTGAACCGATTATTGTGTGTTCCAAATGTTACAATGGTTATCATATCTCCTGTTTTGATCGTTCGCCTACAGTTAGTGACCCGAAACAATGGACTTGTCCAGGTTGTCTTAATGTAAGTTGTTATCATTTGAAATTTGAAGTTTTCATCAATGAGTGGTATTACCTATAGAGAAGTTTCTGCATAACTTGCACTCATTTAAGAAGCATAAGTCGTTTAGGACATTTTTGTTTATGTTCATTAACTTTATTTTAATCTTAGGCGGATGGTTTTTCATCGGAGCTTGCCAACTCCCTTCTTAATGGTGATGTAGAAATGCTCGTTACTCAACCAGAAGGACAAGGAAAGCAAATTGTTCATGTGCAGGAAGAAACAAGCGGTGGCAAGCAAGAAACCCCACGACACAGGCGAAGAATGACACCGGCTGATTACGACTTTCCTCCGGATATGATGAAGAACCTTTTCTAGTAATCCCTAGATAGTTATTTGACAAGAACAAAAGATCTACCTAGTAGCTTTTGTTTTTTGAACCTTTTTAGTGGGGAACAAAAGATGGATATTTGAAATTTTATAACATTCAAACTGCTCTTGCTTTTACTAGAAAATCCAAATTATAGTTCGATGGTTGAAGAATTGTGGGCAAGACCGGAGTCCACACCATTTCAATATCCTGTAGATACTAAAGAAGTGCCATTCTACAAAAAAGTTATCAAGAAACCAATGGATTTGCATCAAATACGACTAAATATTGAAGTCAATAAGTAGGTTGTTGAAATTTTAATGTGTAGATTAATTTTCGGAATTATATATATGATGGGAAATCTTTTTTAAGAGCTTCTCTGCATCAAATACGGCAGTACTTTTAGGCAGAGCTCTAGAGTAAAATACCTTGTCATAATAAAATACATCAGTAGTGCGCTTACTGGAAGAAATTATGATGAAGTCCGAGCAAAGATTTTAGTAAAAATGAGGGATTTGCCACAACTGTATTAAATAGCAAGAAATTCGTCATGGCGGTGAACGATCTCACCATAATCTAATAAATCATTCACCATTGTGTCCCACGTTAAGAGTAAATACAACCTGTTATACGAAGCAACCGTTGTAAACCTATCAGCAGGCTAGAAAGCACTCCAGTATAGCAAGCTAGAAAAGGAAATCGTCACACAGGGTGAGGAGTAATGAGCTAGCTTTAGCGACCCATTCATCAATGTGGTTAAGACTCGAAAACATTCCGCGAGATGAGGCGTGATATTGTCACGAGGATACAGTTATGTTTGAAGCTGAAAAGGGTGTGATCTTATATTGCAAGAAGCTTTCGAAGACGGTGGATCATTTGGCAACGTAGTGTAAGGAAATACTGTATTATGATTATACCAGAAAACATACTGAGGATACTGCGGTCTATCCATTCGGGACTCTGCAAAAAATATGTTCTTTCCACGCAACGGAACTACTCCCTTTCAGAGGATTGTTATGAGAATATGGAAATGGGAGTTAATGTGCAAAAGTAACGATAAAATTGATGGGGATTGATCCATAATCATGGTGTGCGGTAAGAATCGACATTAAGTAATCTTGATGAGGGTTGAAATCATTATCATTAGTCAGTAATAGATTTTTTCGCAGTCGAGACCGCACAAAGGAAAAATTATTGGACTTCCAGCACAGATGCAATGTATAAAATAATTCTTTATGTAATGACCTGACTGTAATGATGTAGGATAGGATAGTAAATTCCATAAACTCTATGCGAAAAAAACCATGTATCCGATCATGTCGAGGAATATATCCATTCGATAGTGCTCAAGAAAATACTTGAAAAGCATCTTATTCGATCAACGCCGTTGTTCAATAGCAATACTGCCGAAGCAATATCGAACGTCAGTACTAATATTGCAGAAGATTAGCATCCGTCTCATTATTATTGTTATTATAATATATAATGTATGTCAAAAAAACATATGAAAGCATTTTTTAATTTTCAGATATGCGACCCAAGAAAGTTTCATAGAAGATGTGGAACTAATTTTTGAAAACTGCCGAACGTTTAACGAGGATGAGTCACCAGTTGGGCAGTTGGGAGCGGCACTGCACAAATTTTATGTTAAGCGCTGGAAGCAATTACGATATAATTATTCGAAACGTCTGAAACGTTTGAGAAATCCACGAACAGTTCATTCTGTAGCAGTGGCTTCGTCTTCCTCTCCAGTGGTTCAACAGCATGGATGACAATAAAAATTGTTCGAATCCCAAAGAGTTTGGATGCCTTACTAAGAAAATCATTCATTTTGTTTGCGTATTCATCAGAACGTTGGTAATTTTAACTCGTGAGGTTCTGTCAATTGAAGAAAGCCTCTAAAAGCGTGTTTTGTTTATTTATTTTTGAATTTCCCATTTCCTTGCGAGAAGTGTTCAAATTTAAAATTGTATGATGAAAGTCAAAAATTTTTACTTTCTTTGAAGGTCTTTGTTAGAGAGTAAGTTTATCAGAAAATGTTTGTTTCATGTTCTCTAAATTCTGGATCACTAAATTCAGTCCACTGTCATCGTTGAAGACATTTGGGCTAACTTCGAAGAGTTAAGTTTCTGATATTTTATATTGCAGATTGAGACTTCGGTTAGTTCCGAAGAATGGCTAGGCTACCATTGCTTCTGGCATAGATTATTAATATTCGTGATATCATTGTTTGATGCGCACACATCTGATCTCATCTATTTTTAGGGAACATCAGTGCTTGTATTTTTCTACTCAGTGTTTGTAAATAGAGAATGTGTGTTCTTGTTCAGAGACGGAGCTGTGCAAATATGCTTTAATGTTTCTAAAATAATCCTTTTTTCTCTCTCAGCTTTAAAAGTTAGAGTTTGAAAATAATTAGTTCTTTTGTGTCATTCATGTCTCATTTGTGGATCTTTATCAGGTGTAGCCAAATAATTTGTAACTTTTTGATGAAGAGACAACAAATTTGGAATAAATATCTTTTAGTGTCCAGACCTTTATTCCTGATGGTCCACTTGATGATGTGGAGAGAATTTCAGAACTGGAGGGATAGTCGTTATTTCTCATTCAGTCTCTTCATCTTTCCAACATTCCAGGAATCCCAGGTTTATCATTCACTATTTAATTATTTCCTAGGATATGGCTGTTTTCTAGGTTTCATTCCGTATTTATGAATTGTACACGGCGTTGACTATTTCCTCACTGAAATATTCAGTTTGTTGGAATGACAAAATTTGAAATAAAGATGTTGTTGCTTAATGATCAGTCCTGAAGTGGATGCATGTTATTGTTGTTGTTGCTGCTATTGCAACTATTCATAAGTAAGCAATTCTTGTTTGCTTCTGTTGTCGTAAGTGACGTTTATTGATATATTTTTCTGCTTGACTTGGTAGAAAACTTTTCCATTAATTGATATTTATCTATTCTGTTATTCGGCCATTTTTGGTAGTGTTAATTCTGTTTTTGGTGTTTTTTGTTGATCAAAAGATATGTAGCATTGCGATTGTTAATTTTACCGCTATCAATTGTATATTTTCTTTCTATTTACTGTTATGAAAATTTTTGAAATGCCTTGTAAACATTAATGGATATATGACTAATTAATAGATATATATGTAAGCAGTGAAATTCTGTTCTTTCTTCTTACTTTGCAACAGCTCATATATTGAATATTAATAAGATACATATTTACTCATTCCTTCTACTTTTCCTTAAAATTTGTTTTCTACATTCACGTGTCTTTTTTATTGTTGTTTTCGATGTTTGGTGTCGGAAATCTGTTAATGCTTAGATTTATAGTATATTGCATCAGTGCGTCTACCGTTTTAAAGTATTGGTCTCTTATGGTCATTTCCTTTTGTATTTCCTATACAGTTTGCCACCTTGTATGCGCTGGTTTTGCTAGACTTTTCACAACCTCGAACTTCATTCAGTCTACTGAACATTGTTTTGTTTATATTGTTTTGTACAGATATCACAGTTCTTCATGCTTATTCTTGCATTACCTTCATATCATTATTAATCTTTAAAATTGCTCTTGATAATGATGAGAAACCATAATACTAGGACGCACTGCATTGTGCAGTTTAATGCATCTTTCTTTTGATGCATAGAACGAGAAACTTGAACCCTTCTCCCCTACATGTTTTGTATCTAATTGACTCGTATGTATACTTCCTCATCCTCAGTTCCAAATTCCTTGCAGTATTCGTACCATCTCAACGTTACTACTCTATTAATATGCATATTCGTTAGTAGCTTGCAGGCCTCCAATAAACATTTCCAGATCTGTCCTGTAAGTTTGTAGCAATCAAAAAGACTTTGGTAATTGGATATTTTGGTTCATTAATACTTTAAATTGATGAACTGCTTTCACCAATTTATCGATCGGAAACAAAATTTATGGAGAAAATAAATTTGTGAAGTTCATGTGTTGAACTTAGACACCTGAAGCCAGCATGATAACGGTTTATTGCGAATGACATCCGGACAAAGTATCATGTTGACAGTTTCAAGAATATGAAGAAGATCTGATGACTGCAATGATGTCAAGATCTAGTAAGCATTCGGGTATGCTAGAAGCCCTCTTTTGGGTCCTGAGGCTTCATTTATTTACTGAGGTACAAAGTAAAAGTGATTATTCTTAAAATCAATTAAGTAAATACAATTGTCAAAAAAGAGAAGCGAGAAGGACTGCAATTGGTTAGGCGTAGGTGATATATGCGTCCAAGTTCAGGGCTGTCGTTCCGAGACTCTAAAATACATTTAGCAGTGAAAATGCGAATTGCAGCGTAGACAGAACATTTTCATTAGTTGCAACACGAACTTAATCAGCAACATTTTAAAATGCAAAAGCACTGACCCAGAAGAACGTTTTGAAGTCGATACTTCTCGGGTCGAATGTTTTCGGGATTTTTTTTTCGGCACTTTGATTTCATTTACAAATGACCCACATAAAGCGTCCACTTCGTCGTAAAAACCAGGGCTACGGATATGTGTCAGATGCTCCTGACACAGAAAATGCTAAAATTAGGGGAGCATTTAATCTGAAGTTAAACATAAAATCCAGAATATCTAATTCCTAAATAATCTGCTCGATCTGAGATGTCCTCAGTTTGCGATAAAGTTTTTTTCAGAATATATTCATATGTTAAGTACAGCAGAATTTTATAAAAATGCTGAAAACAAATGTGAATCCGGGGATGCCAACATATGAATGAAAAACCAACCGACTGTAGATCTCTACAACTACGTGTACAAATATCGCAGAATCCATTACCAACACGACTTCGAGCTCGAATCTTCACATTACTTTTTTCTTTCCTTGAATGACACATAAATCATTAATTTGAAATAAAAAGTTTTCTCGCCACTTAAGAAGGAATTAAAGCTTGTTGAAATATTTCTAAGAGATTAATTAAGTCGCTCTGTAAAAGCAATTATGAAATTAAAAATAATTTCATCTTCAAGAAATTTCACGATCAGAATTTTTATACTTTCGTTTCCCCACATCAAGAGAAGCTCTATGAAATATGGATTTGCCAGCTGTTTGACCTATGTAAATAGGACGAAAATTCGAATTTGAACTGAATTCCTTCCAGTAAGGCATATAACATTGACTGTTGTTTTCTAATTTTATAAATGGAGCTTTTAGCAAACGTATGCTTACCTGTAAAATATAAATGATTATAGGCATAAAATGACTATACGAATGGAAACAAATCAAATTAACAAACGTGAGAAATTGTTCAAAAAATCGAATAAGGAGCTCATATTTCTGAGTGCGCCAATTTAATGAAAAGAAATATAGAGCGTACTCGAACCAGCAGAACTGACTGCTGGGAGAGTACAGCGAGAACGCCGAAAGACAAACACGATCTAATTCGAAAATCAAGAAGTCAGATATATGTATTGATCTCATACAAATGAGAGAACAAAGTAGTTTTCGGTCATATTTTAAAATAAAACTGTAGCTAAAAAAATGATGTAGATTTCCTGATTAGGACTGTTGTTTGTACTGTTTATACTAGCTCTTCCGTTACCAGTATGTCCAACAGCTGATTATATATATATATATATATATATATATTCATGCAATATTAAATTAAATGATAGAGTTTCTTATGCCATCTTTAAAATCAACCTCACGTTTCGTTATCATTGGTGTCATTTTCATCCTGTCGATTATTTTCAGTCGGTTTTTCACGTTTGATATAATGAGTACAAAAGAATTTGATGATCTTATACGAACACCACTACGTATTGCAGCTCGAAGCAATACCGGCAAGGAATTTATGTTCTGAAATGTTTCTGGAATAGAGAACCATACGCTAAGAATGAGTTAAAGATTATAAATAAAAAGAAGACCTTACCTTTACTGTGGGATTTTCTGCTCTTGTTACTTTCTCTAAATATCGTGCATATGGATGATCTGTGATAACACAAGACGGTTTTTTATTTCTGTCAGGATCAAAGGTCTCCAAAACTTTTGCTCCAAGTAATTTTAAATCTTTCTGTAATAAATAAACCCTTTAAATAAAGCTCTCAACAAGAAAGAAATCTTTGCAATATTTTTACAAGCAGTAAGTTCACATAACTATCAACTTGTTTAATTTTAAATGGAATTTAGAAGCCATAATTTGCTATTAATGCACTAACACAAATATATATCACAATACATATTACAATTATCAAAAAATGAACCTCAAGTTGCATACGTATGGTTTCATTTTCAAAATCTAATACGAATGAGAGAGTACAAAGTGGTTTTTGGCCATGTTTTAAAATAAAACTGTCGCTGAAAAAAGAAAGTGATGTCGATCTCTGATTATGACTACCGTTCGTACTAGCTCTTCCATTATCAGTTATGTCTAACAGCTGATCATCACCATCCATTTCTTCTGAATAAAAACTGTTACCTATGCAAAAAAAGGAGCGGAAAAGAGACATATTGACTGACATAACTAAAAGAAATAAACAAGAAAAAAATGCAACAGACTATCATTCCAAACAAATCAAATTATCAGAAACGAGTCGTAAGAAACTGTAACTTCTTCTTCTGCATAGAAGACTAGAAATTTTGAAAATACCGCTAAAAATTCTAACTATTTTGATTTTTTGGTGTAATATCTTGACTTTCCCTGATTGCACAAACGAGTATAATTCCGTCTGGATGTGTCTCCTAATACCCGCTTAATAAGTCTAACAGAACTTAAAAGAGCCCAAACCTTCTAGACCATCCCAAATATTATTTATGTATAGTCTCACAATCAAAATCACCGCGTAGTTTTGGAGTAGTATTAGACAACAATGACGCACCTTCTATGAAAATTATCGTTTCATAATCTTAAAAAATCCTTATACCAGCGCACTCTGCTGTTAAAATTTTTTGCTGGCTTTTAGCATAATGATTTATGGACGGTCAAGCTAGTGACATGTTTGTATTAAATAAAGAATGAAAGTAAAGTGAAATTATTATTGCTATTTATAAATGTAAGTAAAACGACAGTATGCCAAAGAACAATATTTGTAGTCGGTAATGATTTACTTAGTTATAATCTTCTATCGCTTATTTTCACTTAATTAAAATACCCTCTGAATGTAGCAAAATGCTCGTAAATACAACAAGAAAGCTTTATTTTAAATAATTAAAGTAAATGACAAAATAACAAATGGAATAAAAAAGTAACTTGGCATGAATTTTGGTATTATTTAGTACTTAAATAAATGAGAAACAGTTTTCCGAAATTATTAAAATTAAGCACTATTTATGAAGGACTTTTTGCAGTCATTTCTTTTCGCTTGACAATACTTTTAATCGTTGTTAGATTATCCTTTCAAGTCTAGCTTCTTGTGTTAAACACTAGTGGAAAATGTTTGGTTCCAACGGAGAAAATGGTGGAATAGTATTTTTTTGTCGTTTATTCCTGAAATTTTTTGCATTCTCATCTAAGATTTTTACTTCTTGCTATTGGAAATCGAGCACTGATTACAGCTCATTTAATTGAAAAAGTATGCACAAGTTCTAGTCATAACATTTGATACTTTAAAAGAACTTACTTTATGTGACCAAATTTCTTCTTGAAAATGAGTCTACCGTAGTAAAAATTACCATTGATTAGATCAGATGTACATAAAGATGGATTAGTATTTTTCAGGACTGCTAAGTTTCTTGAATATAAATTATTCCCTGTACTGTTATTTATAGCGCTGTGTTGCTGCAATAAAACGTGAAAATTTTTTTAATTCTCAGTATTTCAGGACACTTGAAAATACCTTAGCAGTTTGTATCTGAGCGGAATCTGAGTGCTGGAGGGGTGAAAAAGCATTAGTGGTAGTGTTGATTTCATTTATTGTTTCGTCTTCGCATCGACAAATTTCTATTTTAGACTCATCTGAAAGTCTCACATTTTTATCAAATATTCTGAAATTTCAGTCCTATTTACAACAAAAAAAGTGGAAGAAAATTCAAAATTAAGAGTTAATAGCTGCTGTAATTTTTTAAAAAGACATATTAAAAATGATAGTTAAAAAATTTGCATAAAGACTTTTGATTACTCATTGCTTGTCCTGTCACTGCATATTTTAAATACATATCTGGAATGCTTTTGTTTTAGAAAATTCTTATCGAACCTATGAATTTGGCAGAAAATGTAATAATTGCCTTTCAAATTAGTGTCATCTGTTAAGGATTTTTGTGATTCCATTGATCGATCTGGCTTATGTATTTCTAATATTCTTTCTTGATCCTCACATGGACCCGTCGCTGTAATTTGTTAAGCTTTTGCTTATTCTGACACTATCCTCAACTTATGTCTAATAAATTAGACTGAACTAAATTGTTCAAACCAGTCTTTTGTGCTCAACTAATTATTTGCAAAAGAACAAATGAAGATTCGAGCAAATATTATTCAGTTGTCTACTAATGTAAGCAAGCTAACTCTTGCAATTTCCATGTAGGGTTTCATTAGAATCAACTTCTTTCATTTTCACCAGTGACTTACCTAAAAATCAATGATATCACTTGTACTGAAAAGATGATATATCCATTAATATGATTTATGTTCAATAATATCTACTGCATACAATAATATCACTTATACTTGTATAAGCATATCAGAATATGTGGATTTAAGGAATTCAAAAGGTAAAATCATTGTCTTAGTTGTTACTTTTTTCAAATTTTTGTCTTACTGATTTTTGATCAACTGTGAATTAATCAGAAGATTTGTATGAAACTGATTGCTTTATTTACATATGCTAATGAATTATTGTAACTCTATTTATAAAAACCTTCACATACTGTATGCATAAGAAGCGACCATATAATTTGCAAGTCATTAATTTTACATCTTTTGGTGATCAAACTGAAGTACGTAAAAGTTTAAGCTTTTGTGTTTACTTAAAATGTGCTTACTTTTGTGAAATTTATTATGGAGATTGTTTGTTTCCAACTTCACATCATTATCGCCTTGTGGTAATTTAATTACTGAGAAAACACTCACGACATTTAATGTTATCAATTTGTGTAATGGCTGTGGTACCTTTTTATGCGCCCAAAATACTAGTATAGTTGTTGTCAGAATCTAAAAAAGCTTTTTCAAAAACTTACACAAGTATACATAAATAAGTTCATAAGCATTTTTCCACGGTAGTTTTAGGCATTAGAAAGTTACTTACTTATTCTTTGCTAAACAAACAACAAGAAAATGGCTGATTTAAATGAAAAGCATACGTTTAAACTGCCTTTAACAGAAGTTATTATTTTACAGTACTAAGCTTAAATTTGATAAAATAGATAAGAATTTATGCACTGAGCAAAAAATACTCGGAAAGTTATACTTGATGGAAATCAAAAATATTGCGTCTATCATTTTTGCTTACATACAAAAATTTTTATGTAATAATTATCAGTTTCACATAACACAAAATAAAATAAACCGAATAAAGCGCAATAAGGAGAAGTAAGATAAGTAAATAGTGTGAATAATGACTACTACTCAAAAGAATGAAAATTGACCAAATAATGGCTGATCCAGCAGTTACAGCATTTATAAATACATACAATGATTGAAAATCTACAAAGTATTTGTGATAATTGAATATGTTTTGACTTGCGAAGTCTAATACCAATCAATTACAATTATTAATATGGATCACAATTATTGTATCAATTACAGTTAAAAGTTTATTTAAGCTCAATTGTTACTGATTATAACAAATTACTGACTCTTATTTGGTACTGAGTGCAATTAAATTGTATTATAGGTTATTTAGTGAGGCAATTATCATTATTTTTAGTTTTAGAAGTAATTTAGATCTATTGCTAGTTAAATTATAACGGACAAACCTTGACGATTTTGACTTATAGCTGTAAGACCAAGAAATGCTATAAATACTTGGAAAATGAATAGCACAATGAGAGCCATTGGAGTGATGCTGACTACATAACCTATCACTGTGAAAATGCATAAACTTATAGCTAAACTGACATGCAATGCTACAATGAAATGAAGCCATGTGAAGGTGGCTAGCAAATCCTCTTCTGACATTCTGCAAACTTTGAGTGTAAATTGCTTAACTTTTCAAATTGAATCTTCAGCTTAAATCCATTATAGTCACACAACGATGTAGGCATACAGTGAATAATAAGGGATCCAGTGTAGAATGTTAACTTTATTTTTCATACTTGTCCTTATCTTAATGGTATTAATCCCTGAACTTGACAGTACTCTTTTAGAAGCAAAAACTGAAAAATAAAAGTCATTACGAGTCAGATCCTTTATTTGCTTCCACATCTAAGCCGTACTTCCTATCTTGCGACATTTTAAGTAAACTGTCCAAGATATCTTACACATTTATAGATGCATGAAAAAGTAATTATGCAAATTTGCACACATTTCATTACTTTGTCACTTTAATAGGTAGGTTATTTTTTCATTCACATTCAATGATCATTTAAACATTTTCGCGTTTCATTTTTGAGTTACACTAATACGACTTTATATTGGTTACTATTGAGCATGAATGGATTACATTTTCTCAATTTGTAAGAAAATGCTCATTGAAGAGATAATTAAGTATGAATTATTTATTTTAATTTATTACTTTCACTGACGAATGCATTATTATAAGAATCCTCCTACAAAAGAAATGAAAAACATCTTAATCAAAAAAATGCACAATATTTTTGCTATACACTTTTAAACAATCATATATAACTTATTGGACGAAAAATTAAATTTATCTAATATATAAACAGCATCATAAAATATGCTCAGTAACAAATGCTTTATACAAATTTACATAAGCTAAAAAGATAAGAGAAATCATTTTCCTAACATGATGTAAACCTTAACCAGATTAGAAAACTAATGCTCAGTTTGAATGGAATTGTAGAAAGACTTATGTGTAGGATCAGCGATGACTTCACTGATACAAGTAAGATCTTCCAGAAATGCGTCTTTATAGTAATACTGGAACCTGAAATTTCATGAAAATTGGAAATTGACCAAAAGTTTTATCAAATTTAGAAGTCAGATGTACAGGAAAAACCGACTTTCCATGAATATATATAATGCCAAATAAAATGTAAATTCCGTTCACTGTTTTGTAATATTTCTAAAACATTTAAAAAATCAATTTAACAAGACCATGGTTCTCCTTTCGTGTACGATATTACTTTACTAAACCATCCAAAATTATCTCCTGTATTTCTAACTGCTGAATAAACATAGGGTGTTTTCAAAATCTGAAAATATTTCATTTGGATAGATAATTTTATATGCTAAAATGTAAAATAAGAGGAAAAAACTATATGATGCAACGCTGATACTGAGAAACAGTGGTTACAAAAAGGAAGAAAAAGCTGCTATATAATCAGCGAAAATTGCAAACATCATCATGTTTTAAAAGAAACAATGACTCGAAAAATCAAAAAAACCCCACCAGAATATTACCTCATTATGAATGCATTGAACAAATCTAGCAAGTTCCCGAGGACTTTGATAAATTTCACCACATTCGTGAGAAGGAAGACCCAAAAATGATAATGCATGCGCTTCTCTTTTATCGGTAACACTGAAAATGTAGAAGAGAACTTATCATGAAAATCCTACGGAGCAAAAACAAAGTAACAAGTAAAAAATTTATTATTTAACATTCATTTATATTTAGGTTATTAGGAACAAAATTGCAATTTAATAGCTACTTACTTCATGAAATAATTCTTTCATTATCTATTTATTCTTTTATTAACAATCATTATAAATCTTAATTGCTCTGCATAAATAAGAGTGGAAGCAGTAATCATTTAAATTATTCTTTATTGGGATGTACTTGATATCCATATTATTTTTAGATTAAAAATGCAAAAAAGTACAAATTTCGAATGATAGTGTAGTCCATTTCATTCCTAACTTTCAACCAAGATCCAAAAACATCACTATTGTGCAAATTAAAGTAATCGAAATCGATTTCCTCGATATCTTCTACAATGTTTTCCACGTTTCCAGGTGTTTCCCAGTCATAAACCAAAATTTCTGAGTGCTTTCTGTAGTGATAACCAAATCATTTATCTTCTACTGAGATAAAAACAACATATCTTTTCATAAGATTATGTAAAAATGTTGTGCACAAGACTAAATGAACGAGTGCTGCAAACTTCATCTACAAAAGTATTAAGGAAATAAACTATAATATTTGTTTCAATGTTCAGAAAATTTTGGATACTTGAATTCTTTCAATGCATCTTTGTATGAATTTTCTATCGTTTGCAAATAAGTGCGATCGATAACTGCTATCTTGTTAGCCTGTAACTTTATAAAATATTAATATCTTACGAATTACTAACTTTAAATTTCAGAAAATTGTGAGATAAATAAACGTGAAAGTTGTCCATCACAAAGGAAGCATAAATAAATATTTTACACAAATAAAAAAGGAATCCCAAACATCAGTACAAAAAATAACGTACATTGCCTTCTTCGCAAATATTCTGTAAGCATTTGTCGACTGGCACATCTAAATAAATAACCAGATGTGGCCAAACACTGCAATGCGGCAACATGTTTCTGCGTTCAATGAAGTAATAGGTAAAATCTAGAAAGAACAACCAATGAAATATGAAGAAATCTCGGGAAAGTTTAATTTGAAGTAATTATTTAATGATACGATCTTTTTGTCACACATTTAACTTTATCAGTGATAGGAAAATCGCTAATACATGATAAAATAATATAAGATAAGAAAAAAATAAAGCGATTTAAAAGAAAGACACAGCTACCTATCCATGCAAATAATCGTGATTTGGAAGTATTTCAAAAATCAATACTATATGCAGTTAATAGCTAAACGCTTACATTCTGGTCCAATATAATTTTTAGCACGACAAGCATTAGCGAAGATAAAATCGGTATGAGGTGAACGTTCTAACACAACACCTTGACCTATAAATGCTTCTATGAATGAAAAAGCTTTAAATTCTTTGTTAGATGACCTTTAATCATTCTTCAGCTTTGTCTAGAGCAGTAAAATAATTGTTTCATCTGTACCAAATATAATATTTCTACAAACACTAAGACTTCAGGAGACTATAGGCAAAATTAGTGAAAAATTTTTCTGAAATCCCATTAAAATTTTCATGGAAGACAGTAATTTTAAAATGAAGGAGAAATCCAGATAATTGAAATCTTTCCTGTATCCAGATTTTTTTTTTATTTTCGAAAGATGGAAAAAAGGGAATTAAAAAAATTAAACTTTTCTTTATTACCATAATAAAGTTGAAAAGTCTCCAAAAATTGCGATTATTAACATTTACTAATGTTTCATGGCATTAATTTAATTTCCTCCAAACAAATATAAATGCATACCAGTATTCATAATATGCGCTACAGCATTTAAATATTGGTCAAATTTGCAACGAATAATGCGATCACGCATTAATGCTGTTTGATCATTATATGGATCCTTGAAGAACATCTCAGTATCAAACAGACGAAATGATTTTGGAAACTAAAAGAAACGAAACAAATTCAGTAGGACTTAAACAAATAAAACTATAATATCAACCAAAAAATACTTGAAATAAAATTATAACATAATTTGTAAATAATCTCGAGCTATCAGTATGCTAAAAAGAATGATAATATGAAGAGTAATGAATTATTTTTATCCTCTGATTTATAGTTTAATATAGTTTCACACAGTAACTAGTTGATATTGACATATTTGAAGTTTAATCAGACTAATTATGCATTTCACTCCATCAAAAGACGAATAAACTAACCAAATGATAATAATTTCGATAATCATTTCCGAATCGATCTATCAATACTTCATCTATTTGAAATTCAGGGATAAAATAAAAACCCAATTGATCTGCTAACTGTTGAGCCGCCTTTGACTGAAAAAATATTGGTGCAATCAAATTTCTATTCTAAAATATAAAAGATATGAATATCATGATCATATTTACATTAAATTTTTTGATTAAAGATAGAAAAATAAAAATACCATTTTTTTTTCTAAAATATGACTAAATTCAATGAAAGAAATCTGATTGAAGTCTACAATAAACTGTGATTATTTCAAATTCTGAGTCCTAGAATTACCTTTTTTGATCCAATATTTCCTTCAACAACAATTAATTTTGAATTTTCATGAAATCTTTTCAAAGTTCGATCAAATAAAGCTGTTTGCCATCGATACCTGATGAAACAAAAATGATCAAAAAACTTTGTTAGTCACCACAAAATATACAATAAAAATTGTAGTCACCCTTTCTCCTTGTATGGCCATGGTTCTGGATAATTCTCTGGAAGTTCTAGCCTATTCTTTCTGACAATTGTTCGTCGCGGACAAATCATTTGCGTACTTTTTCCAAACATTGGAGATATGAGCAGCCGAGAGCAAATCCATTTCAATGAACATAACGCCATGCTCTTTATTCGGTAAACTGAAATTTTTTTATGACATAGGATCCATACCATTTTTTTTCAATACAAAGATGTTCAATTTTTACAAGTGTTTCTATGCAACAGTCAGATAGTCTGTTTCTATGATCAATCTCCTTCTCAACTCTTTTGCGCAATATTTGCATCAAATCCAAACTCCCAAGCAATTTATTAAAAATGATTCTTCAGACCAGCAAAACCAAACCTCCCACAAACTTTCAAGAATAAAGATGCATTTAGCACCGACTTATGACTAACTAACTGATATGCTTATCTAATTCAATCGTGAAATCCACCCCATGATAAAACAAGAGGCAAAATCCCAAGAGAAATTGCATCTCGCACATAATCATGCGGAGAAATTATCATAATAATATGCACACTTGCAGCATATTATAACTTAGAACAAGATCGCGGTAGATGATGACAACTCCTGATATATATGAATGGTGTAAAAACCAAAAGATCTCGACCGGAAGACATCTCGTGACTTCTATATCAGTCAATGACCATATTTTAAATCCACAATGCATACTGAATAAAATTAACAATTCATAATAAATATAAACGTGTAAATAACACTTTTGTACAATTTTTAAAGTTAATGAAATGCAATTGAAAGACATTGTTATGCTGTTTTCATAAATCACAAACCGCATTAATTAGCGACTACTTTGGCACTGCTCACATATACACAATATAAAAAACTGTACACCTGAAACCACAAAGTTCTAATACATAATCAGCAGTGGGAAAAATCAATATTAATATTTTCTTTATGCCCTCAACACATGAGTTCTTTTAGTTTCTAAGAATAATACAGTCAGTTCCCAAAGAAGAAAACGTGACTGCAACAAGATGCATAAGCAAATTACAATCACAGTATGACGTAACAATACTTAAAATCAAAAAGTAGCTCAAAATATTAAATGAAACAATCTACTGAAAAAAACATATTTTCCCACATACTTCATCTGCTCTATTATATTACTGATATTTTACAAACTGAACAATAATTGAGAGCGAAAAAGAATATCAAAGTACCTACATCCATAGATATATGAAAGTAGACGGAGGTTTTTCACGTTTATTACATAACTTCTGCAGATTTCTTTTCAAATTCCCTCTCTGATCTTAGAAACGAAAAAAAAAACACCTTATAAACTATTATGCTGCAAAATGAGTTAGTAGATTTCTAAAGAAAATTTCAAATTTGAAACAAAACAAGTTAATACTTCTTACTTTGGAATAATTATTGATCGCAAATCAAACCAGTGTTCGAAATTAATATACAGAAATGGTTACAAAACTGGTTTAAAAATATTCGTAAAACTAATTCAAAACTGGCAATTGTGCAGACTTATAAATAAACTAAATAGGTGTAAATCAAAAAACTGATTCTCAATAAAGGCCGTGTATTTGTACATTCTTAAATAAGACTAAGCAATGATTTAAAAAGGTGAATTTAAAATTTGCGTACGATATCCTATTCTTAGTTACATAGTAAAACAAATGCAAAACTTCACAACAACTTCACATGATCAGAATATAAAATGTACAACATACGGAGCTTTTTCAAGGGTGAGATCACGGAATTTATGTGAAAGCTTATATGAGATTACAAAAATAATGCCATAAAAACTTCCACCTGAAATCTATTCATATCATTCATTATATAAAGAGAGATAACTAAGTCATAAATTTACATTTCAGAAATCCTACCTCTAATTTAGAATACTATTAACTACAGATGTGCGACTAGAGGACCTCAAAACACACGGTTCCAAAATTCTTCAAAACAAAAAGGATGATAAAAAACCATTTTATGCCAACTTTATAGTATCTTTACCAATAAAACTAATGAAGTCATGAATATGAGCCTTTCTGGAAAATTTATACTATATGTGGCCTATAATCACCAATAAACTGCTGTACACTATTTGAAAAACAAAATCACAATATAATAAGTCAAATCTTTGTTAAAACTCAAGGTTGTCGTGATCCTCTCTCGACACTATGACTTAATGAAATATCATGAGAAGTAGTGCTGATACCAGCTTCATTAAACTCTTCATCATGAATCATACGAGCACAAGCTCCAATACCGAATCGTGCATCCATAAGTATTCGCTGAATATTCATTTTCGCAACAGCTTTCTAAAAAAATATGGAAAACATTAATCTTATTGAAAAAATCATGCAAAATACGATATACACAGTAAACTTTACACAACATGTAAAACATACATTGAAAATAATATTTTAAAAATAATATAATAATTTATTTCTGAAAGGAGATACACAAACTTCATCATCATTTAGTCTTGACAGGTGACTAGCTATAGAATTTGCAAATGCCAGGTTAGCCTCATGCTCTTCTTGTAAAGACTGATTAGATAACACAGAATAATGTGGCTGCTCAACAGAAACAGCTTGTGTGCCGAACTGATGGCCCGTCTGATGTCTCATTGATAACGACGATGTTTGTTGCTGACCTATTATAAAATGAACGTTATCGCTATTTCTTCTCAATAATTTTAAAACTTCCAATTTAAATTTAAAATTCTATATCGACAATCAACTTGCCAATATGAGAAACATGTGGTTCCGGCAAAATAGAGCGGTGAGGAGAAACAGTAATTTCTGAATGTGTATGTGAGGTGCTCGCTTGAGGATGCAACTGTAAAATAAAGTATTATCTCTGACTGTTTCGAATTGACCAGAACACAGATATTTATAAGTTTGAAGCCCAAAAAACTAAAGCACTGAGAAACCTGCTGCTGAACATCATGACTTAAAACCAAATTCGGTCCTGATGCTGAGTGCTGATCTAGAATTATCTTGTCGTTTCCTGACACTGCTTCTAAAAAGCAAAATACTAATTAACCAAGAATAATAAAAATGAAAAATTATCAATTCAACTCAAACCGTGATCAAGTGCAATAGATTTTTCAGTAATGCCATGATCCAAAAGAATGTTATCGCTGACTTGTCCATGATCATCACATACTCCTAGAATATTAGCGGCTGTACGCTTCCTACGTTGGATACCAACTATTTTCAATTCTCCAGAAACATTTAACAAATTATTATTACTCGCCGATAGCGATAATGGGTCAGTATTTAATTCTGATACATTTACTAACCGATACCTGCAAACATATTTTTGTATAAAAACAGATTTAATGCATTAACAAAATTAGACAAGAAAATTCACTCGTAAATTCTGCTTGCAACAGCATATCTAGATTTATGATTATTTGTACGTATATTACCTGTTACTAATAAACATAAAAATTATTCGCTGAAAACTTTCAAAGTATTGAATACAAATTTATACACTTCCTCTTTATTTTTTATAAAATGAATGGTTTTTTTTTCAAAACAAAAGTAAAGTGGAAAAAAAGGTGCAATAATCTAGTGTTAAAATATTGCAAAACTAAAATTGACATTTTTTGTGATCCATGTTGGTAAAAAGTTGTTGGATCAATTATCATTGTCACTGTACTGCCATCATCTAAAAGTGAAAAAAAAAAGAATCACAAAAATTTTTAGTGAAAAATGAACTGAATAATATCCTATAAAATAAATTATATCGCTTTTGACATTAATAGTGCATCTGATAAAGTAAACTGCTTGTAAAAATTTGATTAAGGGTTACTTGTCCTAACGTTAACATCCCTTTTGATCACATTATTTACTGGTGCTACTCCTCTTGCAGTTACAGTGACTACCCCACCATCAGATGTTTGTAACTGCTGTTCTGCTCTCGCTCTTTGTTCTGACTTGGATAACAAAACTGAGTGCTGCTGAGGTGATATCACCTTAAAAAGTCATAGACATCAAAGTTTAAAAAAATACAAATGGTGAATAAACATTGTGAATATCTGATTTCTGTAGAGAAAATTTGCTAAATGCTCATTCAATGGCCAAAAATCCAGTATATTATAAATCGCCACTTTTCTAAAAAATATTTTACTTATCATACCTGCTGTGATTGCTGTGACTGAATTGCAGTTAGCACTACCATACCAGAAGATAGTTGATTTAGAGATTGCTGTTGGCAGTGCTGCTGCAAAACAAGCTGCTGCTGATTTGAGTGAGAAGTAGAAGCTATTGATGTGCCAACATCTATCTCACTACTAGTAGTCGAAGAACATGGACTTCCACCACCTAATATAGGAAAATGTAACAGCACATAATTAAGAACCAAATACCGAACAAACGCGAAACTAAAACCAAACATCCCTATTATCAGCTTGAAAAATTGAATATCCAAAAAATAATAATATACGTAGTAATTTCTAAAGAAATGGATCCCAGGATTTAGAAGAAAGACAATACTTTGAAATGGTATTAAGTACCTCTTTCCATATCAAAAAAAAAAGTTATAGTCTATCAGCAAAAAAATTTGCATAACATTTAAGATTTCAGACAAATATTAAAAACCACTAGAATGAGCAAAAAGGTAGCAGAATACTGTAAGCGAAACAGAAACAAAAATACGCACAAAGCAGAAAATGAATGCTTGAAAATTTAAAATTTAGAGCACATAACAAAGGACAAAAATACTCACGTAAGTTTTGCTTGAAAGTGAAACCTGTGGCAGATGATGAAGACGGAACTGCATTCCTGCTGTCATCTGATCCATTAGTATATCTGTGACTCTGCACGGAGTTATATTCACACGGATTGCGCACATTTATAATTTGAAACGGACTAGTCTGTTGATAACTGCAAACAAAACTTGTAGAAAAATAAAATTTCCAAATAAAGTATGAGTTTTCATTCTGATTGCAGAGAAATACCTGTTAACAGTCAAACAGCTATCCGTAGAACTAACAGATGTATTCTGATCAAAAGCTTCTTCCTTTACATCATTAGAAAAACTGAGAGGAACAGAATGTGCGATACAGTCACTGAGTGTTGCTGGTGCAACCATCTCCAAAGTGCAACCATTTTTGCCTTAAAACAGAAATATGCAACGAGAATTAGAGTGCAAAATTATGTGGCTTTTTATTTTCCAAACAAACTCTTATTTTTCTGCATTAATGTTTTGAAATACAAATGTTGACATAACAAAAAAAATTATTTTAAGTAACTGACAAACGAACAAGTAAAATAAGAAAGCGGTGAGAGATAAAACAAAAAATGTTAGACTTCTTGTCCACATAAGATGTTTATATCAAATGGACATATCATCAAATGAATTTCGTTATAAGAAAATATAAATGTACGGCAGTTGTACTGGTAAATGACACTGGAAGCAAGCAAGAAGTAAGCGGTTCATCAACCTAAGTGATGCCAAGTATTCTCGCATCTCCATTTCATATTAGAATGACAGCCAATCTCTGCTGCATTCCTCTATTTGATGCTTTTATACTTAACACGAAGCACCTTTTTTCCCATATGAGTTATCAGCAATATTTAAGTTTATGAAGTTCTCGAAAATTTTAATCTTGCTTCAAACTTTAAAATTGAAATTGCAAAGCTCACGAAAGTGAATGGCAAAGATTTCTTCAATAATTTCACTTCAATGCAAATAACAAAACACTATAAAATAAACATGACATAGAGTAGTTAATCAAAATACATTGCATTAGAAAAAATCATCATTCAAACAAAGCCTAGGAAATAGTCATACAACTATATTGCACTGTTATTTCTCACTATTGTTTTAAAAAAATAAGGGAATGGCATATCAGTGTGTTCTAAAAACTAAAGACATAACTAACCTTGACTGATCTTGTGCTGATGAAGCACACTGCTTCCACAATTTCCAATCCTATCAACAGATGTAAGCTGGGAATGGCTATTTATATTCTAAAAATTATCAGTCAGCAAAATAATTACAATAAACAGAAACAAAAGTGACTTTTTTTGATTACTGGATAGACATCGAAAGTTTTGATAGAATAAGTCTGATATTCCAAGAACCACCAGCACTTAAATTACAGTTCAATATTTTAAAACGTTTTGTAGTTTTCAAAATTTCACTACTTTAAGTCGTAACTGAATGTTTACATAAAATACAAAACTAATTATTCATTAAGCGAAAAACTTGAGATTTGTAAAGTAAAACCTACATCTAATAAAAATGGTTCAATCCAGCACATCATTTCATCAAATTGAGGTGAAGAGCTTATATTAGTGACGATTGGTATGGAGCGATTAGAACGACTGGATAAATGACTTTCACGACTGTTTATTATAAAATCCTGAATTTTTCAATTTTCTTGGCACATTCCAAAACAGGTACTTCAAAAATAATTCATGTGATCAAAACAGCCACTAAACAACTGCTTTTAAACTTTACTTGAGTGTTTTCTCCAATAATGACATTTCGCCGTTTACGCCTTTCCCGTACATATCGATCACGTATTCTTTTCCACAGAATTTGTAGTGTATGAACATCATCTACCATTAAAATAAATTACTACGATTTTCACAAAAACGATTTACATTATAAAAACATATTACCATTAATTAAAGGGCAGACAAAAATACATGGTTTCTTAATAGACTCAGGAAATCAAAATAATTTTAAATACTGAAGGTCAGTAAAATAATAAATTATCAATACGAGTTTAAGATGAAAACAATGAAAAGTATGAAAAGAAATAGTGCAAACCTTTAAAATTCAGTTCGTCACGTATATTCTGCCACACCAACATTCGATATTGTGCACTAGAATGTTTATTTCCATAATGTTCATGACTTGGATTATATAAACATGGTTGTGCTTTAACTGCTTCAATCAGACGACGAGTGAAAGTTTCATCTACACGTGATGTAGGAAACGCTGGAATAGTGCCACTAGCAACAGTAGTACTTAGAGTAGTAGTAGTAGTACCGCCTGAATGCTGTCCAATGGCTGATTCGATTTGAACTGCTGGCATATAATCAATTTCCCTTATCCGTTTTCCTGAGGTCATAATGTTGTCAACAATTCTAACTTTGTCCTTAAATTAAGCTCTATGCTACTGAACCAGTTCTAGTAAATACAAATTTTAGCATGCTGCTTATAAATATTTCTTTAAATATTCTTTTAGCTTGGAGTAATTCACAAATTTTTTTTCATAAATTAGAATATTAATTTAATATTTAAATTTATGCCAAATAAATATTAGATCTGAACAAAGAATTATTTAAGTTTTACTAACGAATCCACAAATTATGTGCTGTAGCACGTGCCGTTCGGCACTAATTGGTTTGATAACTTCCAGTATAACTTGATTACGTATAGAACTCTGACCTGTAACCAAAGTCTAACTTTCACACAATGCGGTAGTCAACTTTTCGTTACAATTCAAAAAAAAGCAATAAGATAGAAATTTGTCATAATTAAATTTCTATTCTTTTTTGCTGCTAATAAAAATATACATAGTATCAATGAAATACGCAAGGTAAATTTACTTAGATCATGTATATTGCTGCTTATTTAAAAAGTTACTTTGAGTGAACAGTTATTCTGATAAAAACTTGTTCTTAACGTAATGAACTGCTCAAAAAACATTAACCTGATGCTGATGCAACCAGAGTCAAAAAAATACTGCAGAGAAGATATCAAGCATCTGTTTTATCCTGAAATCCAAACACATCATCATTGTCTAATAATTCTGTAGCGAAATTAGCAAGTCATTCACTTGAAACGTATAGGAATCTTTAAAGAACACTGAAGGGACTATTACGATGAAAATCATGTTAACTCCAAAATCATAACTACAATAAACAAGAGAGTACTGTTTGAAACCGCAATTACAACCTGGATACAAATTTGCCTGTAACAAATACGGTAAAGTCAAAATGCTTAAAGTCATATCAGTAATATAAATTGTATACTGTCTGACGTCATGGTTACCATATACACTACGATAGCGTTCCATACGGTAAGAGCATAAACGCAGGAACTGCTACAGTATCATTTTTTAGATATTATATACCATATCTGGACATTTGTAACAGTAACTGTAAGAGAAATTAACTTAAATCTTTCTTCCGTTGTATTACACTCGACGACCCATACGTCACTCGTTCGCGCCAACTAAATTATTACTTGCTTAGTACAGTTTTTGTACCATGAAAAAGTGCGTATAATAGCGACCTACTTTGTAAGGCCCTTTCTTAATACGACATAACTAACGTGTAAATGAGAAGCTTCACGTCTTTAACGTCTTAGTTTTTGATGCGAATAATGGATCACGGACAACTGCAGGGTGCTATGTTTCTGTTGCAGCGTTATTACTTGCTATTCTCGAATGAAATCAAGTAAGACTAGAAAAAAAGCATTTTTCAAATGTCGGCTTGTATCACTTGCAGATTTTATTTTGGTCTAAAGAAAAGGAGCTTTATTTTTACCAGACAATATTTTCAACTATTTGTTTAATCTACGGAAGTTTTGTATTCATAAATGTCCATAATTAGTTATGTATTTGTTTATTTCCGTCTGCTGCAATATAGAAATTGAAAAGTGTTTTTATAAATTTCATTTAGAATGATATCGAAAGTTGACGAAGATGGTTTTATTGTGGTCAGTAGAAGTCGAAGGAGACGTATGAAACTATCCTCTAGATCTGGTTCGAAAATTATTGGTAATTGCAACGCGTACAAGGCTTTCAGTAATGTACATGATTGCACAGCAGATGAAGATGAAATATCTGCGCGCGACATTGAGCAGATTATCACAAATGCCTGTAACAAGAAGGAAATGATAGATTATAGGTAGTTATTGTCCTGAATGCCATGTGCCTTAGTTTCATGTTAACTCCTGAGTGGTGGTAAAAAAAAATAAAAGTTAAATATTTCGGAAAATGAAAAAAACTTTTTTGAAGTTTAAATTAAAAGTCTTATAATAGCAGGTATTTACTACATAGAACGAAGGAAGTATTAAAAACTTGCCTTAATAACTCTTTTGGTAACTGTTGTGATTATTTTGGATTAACTGCAAAAGTTTATCTAAAAAATTTATGATAGTAAAATAATTTGCAATCATTAAATGTGAAAATTCTTTCAGCCACATAATTATCAATTTGTTATGCGAATGTCTCTCCGGGTGCAAACTTTCAAGCATTTGGGCAATCGGAGTTGGTTCCTTCTGTCGTTCCTGGTATTGCGGTAGAGATCAGCTGGCTTTACTACTCCATTTGAAAGAATACTTTCAATGTAAAGTATACTTTCAGGAACCATGCTTAACTAAAGAGGAAAAAGTTCGTTTATTTATTTATTTTTTGCTACCTAAAATCAAGATTTTTTTATTTTGTATAGAAGTGCAATGCTGTATTAGCTTATGATATTGTTTTAAAAATTTGCAAGACTACAAGTTCATTATATTTCAGTTTATTTAATTTTTTAGAGTCTTTTCATTGTTTACGTTTATATTGTTTGTATTTTAAAACAGATATGAAAAATATAGAATGATTGATTCTTTATTTTCAGTGTTTTATTTGCTCACTTTTTTGAAATTTTTTCATCGTCATGTTACCGTTTTCTTTCTCTATTTTAATCTTGATTCTGCTTACAGTATCTCAATTTTAAGGATTGGCTTTGTAATCATAATATTTGTTTATCTACAACCACTGATTTATTAACTTGTCGGCTACATGATGACATTGATGAAGATGTTGTGTTATTCTACGCTCCTCACTGTGGACATGCTGTGTACAATAGTGTAATTTATGCACACAGGAAGAAGCTAAATAGGATCCTAATTATTGGTATGTACATCTGTAGTAATATAGACTTTAATAGCTGATTAAATTATCCTGTTCATGTAGTCACTGCATTTTATGTAGTATGAAGGATGTGGTTTACATTCGGAAAACTGAAGTTTTAATGTATTTTGTTTTCAGGTAATAATTTTCATATGATGAACTTCGATACTGACTGTAGAACAGAGCATGAGGGGTCAAATAAAGTTGAAAATACTGTAAATGTATATCAGTGGCATAATGCTATGAAGTTGGATTCCAGTGAGTTAAGAGCTCTCTTTCTTTACAGCAAATCATGTAACTCCCTACAATTTCCTATTCTAAGTTCTAATTTTTCTGCTTTCAATCATACAGCTTTGCATTTTCAACCTGAAAATTCTCCATTGCTTCAAATTCCAGAAGAAATTCCAAGGTATTTATTGTATGGCTATGGGATTGTGATTTGAAACAGCATTTTTGCAGTTTGATGAGAGATCAAGGAGTAACATTGGCATCTCTTTGATAGTTATATTAAACTTCGTGATTTCACTCATAATTAAAATTAAGCTACATTCCGAATTTCTCATGACAACAATTAGTAAATTAGATTACATTTTCATGCATATTCTTCGGACTTCATACTGTGACTTATATTTGCAGAGTATTAAATTAACAGTTCTGTCTTTCATTTTGTTTTTACTACATACTGAAAATTCGAAGTAGCTATGTTATATAAAACCGAGATCCGAAAATCATGAAGTAACTTATTTAGAGTGAAGTTGTTGCTGTTACTTATGGTGCTTTTGCCTTTACATTTTTTGATTTCTTACGTCTGTTTATTTCGTGTAACTTATGATAATCGCAGCTCACTGTGAAATATTGAAATGATTCAATACATAATATAATATATTATTGTCATGTTCGTAGTTTATGATGTTCATAATTTCGTATAGAGATTCAAAATTCATGCGGTTAAATACTTCAGACATCAAATGAATATTTTATCAAACAAGCAGTTAGTTACTTGGTAGTCCACAAGAAAGTTCACAGTTAATTTTCTTTACAAATAAGTCTAAAGAAATACTAGACTTAGAATCATGACTTTCCCCAAATTACTTATATACAAAATAAACGGCGACTTCATTCATTGTCTAGGTAGAAGTGATTTCAAGTGGTTAGTTCTATCTTTTTGCTTTGCACCAAAGCTCATACTTACACTAAGAGATCAGATTTCAGTACTATAAAAAGCCTGCTTAGAAATTACTCCAACATAATAACAATAGATGGTGGTACTTCTGGTCATATATAAGAGAAATTGATTCTGACCGACAGTATAATCATAACTGTCTTTAAAACCTGTAGGAAGGGAACCAAGTCTTTCTTATATCAAATAATATTCGGTGATTTTTACTTGAAGAATTAATTTTATTAGCATTCAGGTAGTAAGCTGCAAATTTACTTTTTACTGCTACGTAAAAGAATAGCAGAAAATTGAGTTGATACCGTATTTGTAAATATTTCAGATATGTTTCGGAAATTTCGAAAATCAGAGTAATTGTTTTCATTTGCTTATTTTTTGAAAGTAACATCCTGGATAAATAATAAACAGTCGTGAGAGTAACTTGATTTTGTACTATTGCATTAAATAAAGTTTCGTCTATCGTTAAGTAAAGGAAACTGTAGTAGAACGCGTTTAATTCTTTAACGATAGATAAATACTCAATTCAGAATATTGCTAAAATTATTTAAGATTATCACGAGGCTTTTTTTATATTAGCAATTATTTGAAATAGAGAAAGACGTTTCAATTGGATTCAGTTATGTTTCAAGTTATTTTTAATATATTAATTTATAAATATAATAATGGTGCCAATAAAAAATAACTCGGGATCAAACAAATTATAAAAAAAAGGGATTTTATATCGAACTCAATAACCAACATTCAACCCAAACAAGGGTCGGCATCTCCACAGCAGGACGCAGATAGTGGACGTCGGTCAATGATGCAGTTTTTTCATTGTCCATCCTTTGCACGACAAAACAAAACAGATATGGATAATTCTTCTTTGTCTATTTTTAGAGTAATATTTACTTAATTTTGTTATATTTTTATGCAGCAATTTATTCAGCAATCACTTGCTTAGCTTATTGCCTGATAATTTCTGCAAAAAAACTACAAGAGGATAATGTTTGACTATGATGACAGTGCTAGCAATAGCAAATAATAATAGAATAATAGACAATGTTAGATAGAGATATACACGGTAATAATCATGTATCACAGATAATGATAACGGTGACGATTGATAATAATGTGATCATTGAAACAATTTGAAATTGAGTCTTGAAAGTAATTCTCGACGATTGTTTTTGTATTTAAAATATACGAAAGAGGTGAAGATGAAGTTTGGACAAATGATGACCATTTGATATTCTTTTATACTAATTAATAAAAACTGTAATTAGCGCAAAAAGTAAATTTAATGATGTCTTATAGTGGCCACGATTTTTATCTGCGGAAATGAAAACACCTAAAGAAGAGGTAAGAATTTGCCTTCTAAAGCAAAAAAAAAGTAGTTACTGCTCGTGCAAGAATTATAATATCTGTAATGTTCACGTCAAACTCACATAAATTCAAGCAAGAGACAGATAGAACCGCAGTGGACCGTCAGACGGTTACAGACCCAAATAGAAGCAGTTATGAAGTACCTGGAGCAGAACAACAAGCTGCTAATTTGGATGACAAAGAATTTGCTAAGGTTTTCATTTTCTACTCAAAGATTACTTGAAGATTTCGTATGACCCAAAGCTGAGTACATATAAGTATGGTGGTTTGTTCTTTTATTTGCATGAGTCAAATTCTTATCGCTTAAGATCTTTCGAATTTTTGATCATTCATCAAATACTCTGAGAAAATAAACTTGCTGAAATGTTCAGAAAATTTGCGATATACTGCAACGCTACAAATGGTACCACGGGTTGATGCCACGGGATGAAATTGAAGAAATGCTCGTGAAGGATGGTGATTTTCTTGTCAGACGAACTGAGGTTTCTTTGCAATGAAATCGAGCTTGACCTTTGATTAAAAAGAGTCAATTAATTATTCATCTATTATTTTTTATTATTTTTAATATATAACTGATGCATGCATAAATTTGCTATCATTTCTGTTATGCAAATGAGACAGAATGAAGCAACGAAGACGGAAATGAATACTATTTTAGGTTGATAGGAAAACAAAACTAGTCGTATCTGTAAGGAGTAAGGGTAGAATTAGGCATATTCTAATCAAGTTATGTGATGACGGACAGTGGCGTCTCTACAACGTAAGTGACGCTTGGCTGTAATTTGACTTGTAATTTACTTTAACAAGGAGCAGTAGTTCATTTGTGATTATTATCTGACTTTTCAAATACAAAAAAATAACTTTTAAATAATCCAGTAACGTCTTATTATTATTACTCTCAGTGTAAAACATTAAGAGATTAAATTTGATTAATTTGTACGCAGTAAAAATTTATTTCTAATAAACTTTGAATAATGCAAATTTGCATGAAAAAAATTTAATAAAAAGCTAATAACTATCACTATAAAAAGATAATACCAATCAAAGCATGCCATTATTGCGTATTTTAGGTGAAATCGGAATCATTACCTGACCTTATTGAAGATCACGTAAAAAAAAGCTTGCCTGTTCAAACTGATGGTCAGAATAAGATAATAGAAATTAAAAAGAATAAAACAACGTTTCTTGCTATCATTTAATATTACCACTATTTGTTGTATATATATTTATATATGAATTTAAGGTACTATATTAAAGCAGCCTGTAATACGTCCAGATTATTACATACTTCATGAAAATATTATTGTAAATAAACGAATAGGTGGTGGAGCATTTGGTGAAGTTTACAAAGGAAAGCTAAAAACAGCTGATGGCAAAAGTATTGATGCTGCAATTAAAATGCTGAAAGGTATAATGACCAAAAAAGAACGGACGACTTTCATGAAAGTTATTTTTGCTTATCATATTATTTATATTAAAGGTTAAAGGTTAATTAACATACCATTATTCATTTACTATATGAACACATCTGCATATTCATTTTTATCAAAGTATTAAATACTTATATTGCAGCATCAAGCTGCAAAATTTATACAAATTTTATGCACATTTTATAGGAAGCAAAAATTATGCGACGTTTTCATCACGCAAATATTGTCAATTTACTGGGTGTAGCAGCTCAAGAATACCCGGTTATGATCATTTTAGAATTGTGTCCAAATGGTGCGATGAATACAAAATTAAAAAAAGATTCAAGAATACCAGTTGAAAAACTTATCCAGTATACTGTGGATGCATGTCGCGGAATGGCTTATTTGTCTTCTCACAAGGTTGCTTGTTTTTTAATTTTTTAATTTTTATTAAAAAATTTAAATTTATTTAAAAAAATTTGACTACAAAATGATAAAGAAACTGCTTTCATACAAATGCAAGCAGATTTATGTAATGATAATATTTGTACATCTTTTGAAGAAATCATTTTGCATATTCCATCAAATATTACATTGAATTGTAAGATTGAATTTTTTTTAATTTTCATCCGGAAAGGTCAATATTTTCGTTGCTGTGAATTTTACAGTGTGATAATTCTAAGATAACTGTTACAGTGACATACTGTAAAACTGTTCGAAGCACAATTTATTAGCACTTCCATCAATTCAAAATTGCTCATAATATACTTTTCTTTTACAACAAATTTTAAATTAAAAGAAAAATATATTAACAATTTTTCATATACTACTGAAAAAGGTTGAAAATAAAATAGTCTCTCAAAATATAAATTTTAACTTTATAAAATAAGCAATAATGGCATGCTTATTGCCTACAATACATTTTATACTATACAGTAAGAAAATATTATACTTAATATCAAAGATTTATCGTCCATCTGAAACAAATTTGTAACTAAAAAAACTTCATCACTTTCCACCTAGTAAGGGTGTAAAAAGCTTGCACAAAAATTCGCTAGCTCAAATTGCAGTACCAAAATTGCAATAGTAATATAAGAATAATCACATTGTTGTATTAATAATAATGAAAATATTAACTTTTTTGGATAAAAAATTTTTGGCTTTTTTGGCATTACATTTAAAAAGTATTTTTTTGCACAAAATATATGTAAAGTAATAATTGTAAGGTACAATAAGTTGCACTTATTCTGCAGCATTAATTATGCTAATTAATACTAATTATGCACATATACTGTAAATAATAAGCATGTCTTTTAGTAATAAAAGAAAAAATTTAATTGAGAAGATGAAAGAAAAAGTGATTATGCTAATTAATGCTAATTATGCACATATATTCCTTTAATAATAAAATTAAAAGTTTAATTGACAAAATTAAAAAAAAAACTTTAGATAATTCATCGAGATATAGCTGCTAGAAATTGTTTGCTTGGAAAAAATGATGAGGCAAAAATTAGCGATTTTGGATTATCAATTGCTGATAAAAGTACAATAAGCGTAAAAAAATTGCGACAAGTACCTGTTCGTTGGCTTGCACCAGAAACCTTGAGAAAAGTATACTTAATAATAGATTTGTAAGCTGAATTTATAGTGGTAAAAATGTAAAAATTATTGCAAAAAGTTTTAATACAATCAAAAGTAATCTTTTTTAGGGTGAATTTTCAACAAAAACAGACGTGTGGTCATTTGGGGTCATGATATGGGAGATTTTCACTCGTTGTAAAACTGATCCTTACCCAGGAATGACCAATGCTGAAGCTCGTTTTGTGGTATAATTTTTGCATAATTTTCTTTTTTATCAACATTTCAAAAATTTTTATTCATTTATTTATTTTATTTTCAAAAAAATTAGTACAAAAATAAAATAGAATTTAAGAGAATTCAGAGCGCCTTTTTTTTCATTAGAAAAGTAAACTTAGTTTTTTTTCCAATACTGTACATTACAGTATTAAATACATTGAAAGTGTAATCATTAATGCCCATGATATAATTATTTTAATTCAACATTTTATTTATTATTATGAATTTACAAAATGTGCATATTTAATGAAATATTTGGTATGCTATAATATTTTATATAAAGTAATCAATCTGATTATTAAACAGATTTGAAAAACGCATTTAACATTTCATATTTTACGTGCACTTCACAATCATTACGCTGTGAACGAAAGTCATATTTAATTTGACATTAATAAAGTATTGAAAAAAGATTTAAATATGTAAATTTGTCTACTTGTCCAAAGTTACTTTTGCTCAGATTCTTTCAAAAAGCATACCGATGGTGCTGCCTGACAATACTCCAGAAGCAATAATTACTGTAATGAATAAGTGTTTTACACAAGTAATTTGTTAAATTTGCTTCAGCAATTTTTTTAAATTTCAAATAATATAAAATTAACACAATTTGTAATTTTAAGACTGTTTGTAATGATAGTAACTGCAAAATTGATGGAAGTTTTAGTTGAGAATGAATTTTTCAGGAGCCAGAAAAAAGGCCTTCATTTGCAGACTTATTTAAGCTTTTAGCTCCTCACGAGAAAAAATCACAAAGTGATCAAGAGGGGTCATCAGCTGGGTCCTTGGGGTCATCATGTTCTTACAAAGGTTTGTACTGCTAACTTTCTATTACTTTTCATTTTCGTTCTTCATTCTTTTTATCGAAATAATACATTCTATCATATTTCAGGCGAAGAAAAGAGTAGGAAAAAAAATAAAAGTTAGTATACTTTTATTCTTACAATTTTTTGGTAGTGAAAAGTTTAAAAAAACGATAAAATGTTGATAACTTTAATGTTTTATTGGAATAAAATTGCCAAATAATTCTCTTATACTTACTTATCTGATTTCAACAGCTAAAAATTATGCTGCAGTTAAATCATTTAACATATTTTTCAGAGTTCTTCAAAAAAAGAGATGGAACTTTGACCTTTGATATTAAAATGCAAGTCATATAGCAGATCAATTTTCAGAACGGTCTAATTCAGCTAAGAATGAATCGTTGGCAACTGTTTCTAAGGAAAAAGCTCGAACTTGAAGAAAACTTGCTACAAAATATGAAATTTTTTTTCTGTCATTGTATCGCAACAGTATTGACAAGTAAAATTGACGTACGTTATATGCAAATTATTGGCACAAAATGTAAAAAGAGCATAAACATTATACGAGTTCATAAGTAACATTTTGCTTAATAATCGTAACAGCTCATGCATAATTGCTGCATTGGAAATACTTCTTACCAACTCAAATGACGTCATATGATTTAATTTAGCAAATCATTGATAATTTATACATCAAAATTATTTCAATCTAAACTAAATTATACGTTTTGCCAAAATATCAGTTATAATATTCGCTTGTTCTAATCTGACAAACTGTATTTACCATTGTTATTGCTGTAGCAAATGAGTTCAGTAATGATTTAACTATCTAGCTATTTCCACAACTTTTAATAGCAATGATTTTTACTTTGCCATAGACTTAATATTAATTTGCTAGTCTGATTTTGGCATTTTAATTCAAATAGTTTTTTTTGAACAGAATAATTTTTTATAATTGTTTGCTTATTATCTAGCAATATTTGTAGTAATTGAGAAAATTATTGAAATAATTTAGTTTGAAAAATTTTGAGGTCAACTTATCAAATCGATGATTACACTAATGACATTAAAAGTTCATCATTTATGTCACATTCTTATCCAAAATTGTCCGTCCACACTTGGATTACATAAGAAGTTTATTGCGTGGTACTAATTCTATTTATGTTCACTTAATAATATAACTTTTTACTTCTTAGAGAACATATCCTTGTTTATATATACTCATACACTTATATGCAAATTCACGCGTGAATATAGTGCGCAAGTATTTCGTATGACGCATAAGGCCAGCATGGAACTGTAATTTCTAATACCATATAATATTCGACAAAAATGAAAAATGACTTTGGTTTTAGTCTTAATTTGTTATACTTTATCTTTTTACAAAAAAAAGAACTATAATTTAAGAGACAAATTCAAATCATCCTGAATCAGTGCTTGCTGAAAACACAGAAGTTATCTATCTGATCTCATTCAGAAAGTTTAGCTAAATTCAGATGACGTTTTATATTTTTATTCACAAGTATTTATGCATTAATAATATTTTCCTGAACTTATTATCAAAACTTTTTCTTAATTATTATTTTAGTAAACTTCTCATCAAAAGTTAGCCTTTCATTTTTTCTTAGCACTCAAAAAAGTGAAGATAAAAACAACACGGAATATTTTTCGCGTCTTATTTGTGATTTGAATTATGATCTTTCATTAAGTTTTAAATTCAATCTATTCAGATCTATAAGTAAATCAGTTTTTCAAATAAAGCAGTGATGACCGCAATTTTGTTCAGAATCTTTGCAATTATTCAATTAGTTTTTGCGTTGAAAGACGAATTCACAGAATTATTATTTAATCATCAACAACTGTGTAAGTTTCTTACTGCTACGAAAATATAATTTACATAATTTTTGCAAAGTTTCGTAAATTATATTTTAAACTTTTAGGTAATCCATTTATTTCCACAGACTGAGCTTGCGCGCTTTTTGAAACCTAACTAAACCGTAAAATACTTTCTGTTTTTGTTTAAAAAGCTTGTAAGTATATGAACTTTGACACTGTTATAGCCTTAGAGATAAGATATCTGAAAATATATTTATAGAAATGTGTGTCAAAAAACTGAAATTGAATACTAAAATTCATAAAAAAATATCATTTTAAGTATTTTTCATATTAAACAAAATACGTCTGCTATGATATTCGAAATTTATTTCCGATCAAATTTTACAAAAGTAAACCCAAAACTAATTATATTCTGATTGACTGTAATTTTTGAATATAATTATGATATTACTAGGCGGTAATCCATTTTCTGATGCCCAGTGGATACCTGTGCTAGATCGCTGCTCAATAGTTTGTGATGACTGGAATGAACTTTGTGTGGAAGACGATGAATTGCAACAGAAATGCAACAAATGTAATTTCATTCCACACACATTAATGACTTTTTAAAAAATTTACTGTAATTTAGTAAAAAAGTTTGTTTATAATTTTTTCAAAAAATAATTTTAAAAAATTACAAATTTAATTATTTCAGTGCCACCAAAATGCGTCAATTTTATACGACGAAAAAGTATTCTAAGAAATGAAAGCTAACAATTTTGCAGAGGAAATCTCATCGCAGTGTGCTAGATTACTACTACTGAGGAAATAGACAAAATCACTGCCCCTTTCAAATTATCACTGAATTATCAGTTATTTGCTATTAATAACAAATTTTTTATTCTTACCAAAAATTATTATCAACTCAAATCTTCGGAAAGTTGCTGAGATTATCGAAGATTTTGGCCTTATCACTGACAGTATTCTCAGAGAAGTTTCGCGTGTCATTTATCTCTTTTACACTAATTTGCTTTTTGTTAAAAAAATATTTTTGTT